AGGGCTATCTCTTCCGAATCTATCTGTGAACTCACTTTTCCCCACCCCTGCCCTCTGTCTCTTGAGAAGTAGTGTGGTCTAATGCTGAGGGCATGGACTCTGGAGCCAGACTGCTGGAATCTGACTCCTGGCTTTGCCTACTTACTAATTCTTTGATTTTGGGAAAATTAACCTCTCTGGGTTTGTTTCCTAATTATAAATCGGAAATAATAATAGCATCTATGTTGCAGAGTTGTGAAGGCTACATGAGTTATTATATAGATAAAACACTTTAACAAAGCAAGTGCTGTAAATATGTATTGCGAATTGATATATAATACACGTATATAACCTGTGCAATGTATAACATGTAGTTTATTATAACCCCTTCATATAACTATAATAGTAAGTTTTGCTGATCCAACTGGCAAGGGGTGATAGACTATTAGTTGATTTATGTATAGAGGGATCCACCAAATCTGCAGAGTATAGACGAATTCTGCCTCTTCTGTTTCTTAAGTGTTTCTACTTCTTCTATCTTCCCTCTACTCTGTGAGTATACCAGCTAACTTTAATTCTTGCCCACCAATTTGTGAACTGAGGCCAGATCCGGTCTTGTCACCAAAACTTTCCATCCTTCATTTTTGCTATAGTTGATCAGTGAGTATGGGGTAGGCACCTATGATCAGTGTGGTATATGTGCTGACTGCTATCGGGTTTACAGAAATAGGATAAGACATAGTCTCTGCCTTCAGAGAGTTTTCAGTCTAATCAGAGGATCAAAATTAACTCTTGTTAAGTTGTTAAGAGCAAAACTTAGCTGGTTGAAGAGATTAGCCAGTCTGTCCACTAAAATTTGTAACCCATTTCCAAGGAATAGACTGGTAGGGTGACTTAGAGAAAAGGCAGAAAATGCTTGGGGGTCATTGAGACCAGTGCTAAAGATCATGGTTTCATACCAAGTTAGCTGTCATCTTGTCCCAGAAGGGAAAAAGATATAAGGGAAAATAAATTGGCTTGTCTGTAGGAACAAAGGAAATTCACATACATCCAGCAACTACTGCAATAGGAGCACTTAGCTAAATAAGTATCTAGTACCATTTAATCCTCATAGCTACTCTGTGGAAAATAAGGTGTTTACCCCCTTTAAAAAAAAAAAAAACCATAAGAGAAGTAGAGCTCTGTGATAAAAAGTAATCTTCAAAGTATCATAGCTGTTGAATTTACAGAGCTGGGAAATTTGAACCCAAGTCAGCATGACTCTGAAGTCTGGTGTTCTTTTTACTTCTGTAAGAAAGTGACACTAGGTGCTGTTTTTCTTTGTTCACTTTTGGATGAATTTAGCTGGAAAACATCCACATTTGACCCCTTTCTCCCACTTCCTTGGCACCCCACCCCCGACCCCCAAGCAATGGCTGACTCATTGGCCACCACATTCTCCCAGGAGATCAGTAGAGAAAACAGCGATGTTATCAGCAAAAGCTTAATGACTCTACCCGAGGAAAACAAGAAACCTCCCAAACAGTCATATCCAGGCCAAGTAAAGCTTTGGGAGAAATTCCTGGGACATTCAGCAAGAGCAATCGAAAAGGGCTTTTGAGCAAAAATGAACCCAAATGAAAACACTGCACGTTAGCCCCAGGCCCACGAACTGTTTGGGTTGCAGAGCAAGGGCACGAGGCTTGGAGTGGTAGCCAAGCCAGGCTGGGCTTTGCTGTTGTAACAAATTAAGCCTGAAATCCCAGTGGCTTAACACCATGACATTTTGTTTTAGGCTCATTTACTTGCCCAGTGAGGGCTGGTCCCTCAGGGATCTGGCTCTGACATCCGGTGCCTGCATCACTAGTATCATGAGGCCTCTAAGGTTGCATGGGAGGTATAGTAGGTTTACTAGTGATCCCTCAAATTCATGTTCACCTGGATTTCAGAATGTGATCATATATGGAAATAGGCTCTTTGCAAATATAATTACTTAAGCGTCTTGAGATGGATCCTATATCATACCAGATTTAAAGTGTATTTAAATCCAAAAACTGATGTGTTTACAAGAGAAAGGAGAGAGAGTTTTGGACACAGACACATAGGAGAAGACCATGTGAAGACAGAGGCAGTTTTGAACGATGCTGACACAAGCCAAAGAATGCTGACACCAGGTGCTGGAAGAGGCGAGGAAGGAATCCCTCCAGAGCCTCTAGCGTGAATGTGGCCCCACTGAAACCTTGATTTTAGATTTCTGCTTTCCATCAGAGTGAGAGAATG